GTTGGAGAGGAGAGCAGGAGAGGGATTGTAAGCAGGGCTGAGGAGTCAGGCTCAAAGTGAGTAGGAAGCAATCAGAAGATTCTGAGCAGAATGGGATCTGATCAGATTTCTCTTTTTTTTTTTCTTTTTTTTTTTGCGGTACGCGGGCCTCTCACTGCTGTGGCCTCTCCCCTTGTGGAGCACAGGCTCCGGACGCACAGGCTCGGTGGCCATGGCTCATGGGCCCAGCCGCTCCGCAGCATGTGGGATCTTCCCAGACCGGGGCACGAACCCGTGTCCCCTGCAGCGGCAGGCGGACTCTCAACCACCGTGCCACCAGGGAAGCCCCAGATTTCTCTTTTTAAAAAGCCCCTCTGGCTAATGGTGGAGACTGAACAATAGGAGGGGAAGAAAGGCTGCAGGGCACCAGGTGAAGAGGCTGGTGCAGTCCAGTTGTCCAGGAGAGTAGTGACAAAGCTATGGTCTGGGGCGGGGTGTTGGGGAGCAGAGGTCAGTCTTCCCAGCTGCACAACGAGGGGTTTGATGAGATGGTCCCTTAGGGCCTTTCCAGCTTTGGCATTTTGTAATTTGCTTGAATTACCTCAGCGCACACCAACTAGGTGCAGCCAAGCCCCTGTTTTTCTTTTCTCACAATCTCTTGGATGCTGAGTCTGGACAGAGCCCACTGATCTGAGGCTCAGAGTGGAGACTCCTGCCCACCCCCACTTCTGTCCCCACTTCCCAGGGACAGATGGGTGGGCAGCAGGAGACAGCTGTGCCTTGATGCCTGCAGGGCCCCGGGGGAAGGATTTATCTGAGCGTTCATAACCTCTCTCTGCCTTGCAGGTCTTGAGTTAAAAGCCCCAAATACCACAGCCCCAAGGGGCAAGGGTTGGAGGGTGCCAGGAAAGGGGCAGGACAAGACACTTCTCTGCTTCTGTCTGCAGCTGCCCACAGTGGGACAGAGACCTGGGGTGCTGAGAACTCCAGCCTGGAAGCAGAAGGCCGTTAGAGCCGAGGCTGAAACCTGGTGGCCCTCAGGCCACATCTGACCCACTGACCTATTTATTTGGCCTGAAAAGTATTTGAGAGAAAATGGAGCCAAGGTTTAAAAATCAAGAGATTTTACAATAAAATCTGGATTTCTGGCTTCTCTTGAGTAATTGGAAAATCTGACCATACTGACTGCCTGTTCCCATATGACAACACTCAGCAGTAGCTGAGTAGCAGCTGTCCCCGTTATTATTTCAATTAGGTAAATACATTCACATGATTCAAAAAATTATAAATAGGCATATTATAAAGTCTCCCTCCCAACCTGTTTCCCTTCTGCCCAGTGCTCTCCAGTAATCTCATTTCTTTATGTAGACTTCCAAAGTTTCTTTATGCGTATGCAAACAAATACAAACATAGATTATTAGTCCCACTTTTCACCTGTTCTGTCCCTTGCTTTTCCATATGGCTGCCTCTCTGTATTAGGAGACAGAGTGCTTCATCACCTCCTTTACTGCCACATGCCATTCCGTTGTCAGGAAGTCCATGATTTATTTAGCCAGTCCCCTACTGATGGGCATGTGGGTCGTTCCCAATTTTTCTTGTTATAAACAATGCTGTGTCAATTATCTTGTGCACAGTTTGCACAGGACTAAAGGAATTAGTCCTGTGTATTAGAAACTGGTCCAAGCAGAGGGAAACTGGTCCTGTGTATTAGAAACTGGTCCAAGCAGAGGGTGTGGTAGGCACGGATTAAACTCTTAGCTAATTGAGGAAATGTGATGAAGGCTGTTCCCAAGAGTGATTCCCAACAAAGCCCAGAGGCCATGTCCTTGGGCACTAAGGAAAAGCTCCCAGATTTGCTTCTGCCACTTGCTAGATACACTTCTCTCTGGACCTCAGTGTCCCTGTTTGTAAAATGAAAGAAGAGCTCAGGGAGCTAGATGAGATCTCAAAGGACCTACCCACTTCTGACCAGCTGTGGTTCACCTGAGGGCCTCATCTTAGCCCTTGAATGAGCCTGGCTCAGTCCCACTGCAGAGCCTTTGCCCAAGTTATTCTGCCGCCGGCCCCAGTGGAACACCACCCCTGAATTTCCTCATTGGTCTTAGTCTGAATCCCTGATCTCTGATCTCAGGCCACTCAGAACACACTGGTCCAAACTTGCTCAGCACCAGTGACAAGTGGGTCCCTCCCACCTGACCCACTCAGGCCCCTGACACATCAGTTCCTTCCTCAGTGTCGCTCCTCCAGTTGCCTGAACTAGAGTTCTCGAATGCCAACTCTGCTATTTCCTAACTAATGGTCTCGGGTAAATGACAGCACCTCCCTGAGTCCCAGTTTCCTCATCCCCCCCCAAAAAAGGCTAGTTTGAGGATAACATGTGGTAATATCAGTAAATTTCTTAGCACAGCTCCTGACACACAGAAGGGCTTCATAGTTATACAAGTCGCTGCCCTTTTCCGAATAAGTTACTTTGTTTATAAAATGAGAATAGCAGAACCTATTTCATAGGGCTGATCACTTGTTCATTCATTCATTCATTCATTCAGTGATTTTTATAGAATATCTATTGAGTGCCAGGCACAGCACTGGGCACTCAGCGATTTGTCAGTGAAGAAAATGGATGAGTTGTCCCAACTCTCATGGAGCTCCCAGACAATTCCAAACAGGCAAACATAAAAGATAAATTGCCAGTGTATTGATGTTAAGAAGGAAAAGACTGAAGTGTCATGGAAGCTCATAATAGGGGAGGGTCAGGGAGATTTCTCTGAGGGATAGGGAGCAGGGCACAGGTGAGTAGGAGATCCAAGAGGGCTTCCTGAGGGAGGCATCACCCCAGCTAATGATTAGCATTAATTTTCACCACAGCCCTAGGAGGAAGGCACTGGTTATCCCCCAAGCCTGCCATTTTACTTTCTTTTCCGAAGCTAAGAGAAATTGAGTGACTTGTCCAAGGTCATAGAGCCAGGAAGCAATGAGTAGGTTTTGAACCCAGGTTTCCTGGCTCTAGAGTCTCATACATAAAAGTGTGACTTCTACTGCCTGTTTGAACAGGCTGATCCTGGGATGTGGAGAGGCATGGGAGGTAGAGGGGCTGCCTCCATTGGGTGGGGCCCGGGAGGTGAGAACCTAACTCTGTCAGGCCCTATCCATACACATGCAGAACTGGCCCAGGGCTATAAGGGGATCTGAGGTCAGATCTTCCCTCTGCTCAGGGCTCCATGCACTACATGAGTCTCCCTGCCTAGGGTTGTAGAGGAGAAAGAAAGGAAGAGACCCTTCTCCTGCTTAATCACATTGGGATTCGGACTCCGCTCCAGCCCAACCCACAAAAACTCCCGCCAGTCTACACATGCCTGTGGATAAAGACTGTCAGCTTTGTATCCATCTTAGAAAACTCCCTTAATTCCTAACTCTTCGTCCTCCATTTTCAGCCTTGGACAACAGCTGGCACTCCAACTCCTGAGCATTGCTGGGACCAAAACAGTCCCTGGACATGAAAGGGATGTTGGGCTGAAGGACTGCAAATGGCTGCTCCTTCCTGATCCAGGGCAGCTGTCTCCCTTCATCTTCCCTTCCTTGCCACTCTGAAGCAGGGTGGTCCTCAAACCTCCCTTCCTCCCCTCTTCTCTCCTCCCTTTCTCACCTAATTCCCATCCTCCCTTTGGAAGGTAGAAAAGCTTATTCTGGAACCAGATGATGGGTTTGAATTTGACTCTAGCACTTACTGTGTGATTCCAAACAAATAAATAAACTTCTCTGTGACTCAGTTTCTTCATCTGTAAAATGGGAGGGAAACAAAAACTACCTCACAAATTGTAAGGATAAAGAGTTAGTAAATGTACAGTGCTTAGAATGATTCTGAGCAAAGAGAAACTGCTACATGAGTGCTGGTATCATAAATGCCGTGGTACATCCAATCTGAGCAAAGCAGGGTGAAGTGGGGTGGTGAACTAGGGATATCCAGGACATATGAGGGACCCTACCCCTCTCACGGATTACTGTTATCACTCTCTCTCTCTCTCTCTCTCTCTCTCTCTCTCTCTCTCTGGTCTCTCCATCCCCACACTGCTTCCCTCTAAGCACTTCTCTCCTCTGGCTGCAGGGTCTTTTTTTCCAAATCCTGATTTGATCACGTTACTTCCCTGATCAAATTCTGCAGTGTTTCCCCATTGCTTCTGGCTCTTTAGGATCGCATCCCTTGGAACTCTCCAGCCCCAACTTTCCTAGCTTTCCACCTCCTGGATCTGTGATCCAGACTTCCTTGAAAACATGCCCTCCAGTCTCAGGCCTCCAGGCCTTTGCACTTGCTCTTTTCTCCACGTGGTGTTTCCTCTCCCTTTCCCTCCGATGTTGCCCCCTTCCCAGCCTCTGTTCCACTAGGGCTGTGGCCAGATGAAGGCAGTCCCTGAGGGAGGGGAAGGGGAGAGTGGGAAGAGACAGCAGCTCTCAGAGCTGCAGTTTACTCAGCCTAAATAAGAAAAAGACAATAAGAAAAGAGACCTCTGAAGATCAAAGAAAGGGATGGAACAATATGTGAACACTTTGGAAACTAGCAAGTGGGATGTTAGTATGGAGTGATGGTCTACTGGGGTGCCTGCCTAAGAAGCCCCGTACTTTCAAGTCCCTGGTCCCCTACTCTGCTCAGACCCAGACCACTGAAGGTAAACAGAGGAGATAAATGGAAGAGGAGAGGATGGAGAGAGGGATGGTGAAGAAAAGAGGAAAGAAGGAATTGGAGTGAGGTGGGGGGCTTGGAGGCAGAAAGCATGTGGCTGGAGCCCCACGCCTCTGAGGAAGGAAGAGGAGGGTGACCTGGGATGCTCTCCCTCCCCTCCCCCTCTCCATCCCCTGGAGGGCTGCCCGCATTCGGCCACAGCCCAGGCGGGGTGGGGGAAGGGCGGGGGCGGGGGCGGTGCCGAGGGGAATGAATAATTGAAGTGTAGGGGAGGAGAAAGAAAAAGAGGAGGAAGAGGAGGAGGCGGGAGCCACCCGCACAGGGTCCTTCCCACTCCGCACCCCACCCCCCTCCGCCGCCCGGAAGTCGCTCCCCGCCTCCTGCTCCGCCAACATGGCCGCGAAGTCGGATGGAGCGGTGGCCGCGGCCGGCCCGGGGCCGGAGGGGGCGGCCGGAGGATCTCGGGGCGGTGCGGGTGGGCGCGGGGAGGCGGCGGCGGCAGCCGGGGACCCCGGGGTAACCGGGGCGGGAGGCCCGGGGCCGCGCTACGAGCTGCGGGACTGCTGCTGGGTGCTGTGCGCGCTGCTCGTGTTCTTCTCCGACGGCGCCACGGACCTGTGGCTGGCGGCCTCCTACTACCTGCAGGGTCACCGCACCTACTTCGGCCTCACGTTGCTGTTTGTGATCCTGCCCTCGCTTGTCGTACAACTGCTCAGCTTCCGCTGGTTCGTCTACGACTACACGGAGACCGCTGGGGCCCCAGGACCCCCAATCAGCACCAAGGACAGCGGCGCCGGCGGGCCGGTCATCAGCACCAAGGACAGCGCCGTCACCGTCCGTACCAAAGAAGGCAGCCCCGATCTGGGCCCCCGACCTGAGCCCTCCTCGGCCAGCGCCTACCGCCGCCGCTGCCGCCGCCTCTGCGTCTGGCTACTGCAGACCCTCGTCCACCTCCTGCAGCTCGGCCAGGTCTGGAGGTAGGAGAAGCTCAGGTGGAGAGAACTGAGTTGGAGGAGTGGGAGGTGGTAAGGGGCTGCCTGCCGCCCCAGCCTTTCTCTGACCCTCCACGCCCGCTCCTGTCCTGACCTCCGCCCCGCCCCACCCTATTGCAGCTCTGATTCCTCCTCTGCCAGCTCCTCCCTGACCTCTGCCCTCTAACTCTGATCAACCTCTGTACCATCTTCTACGATCTGGCTATTGAGGGAAGAGGGAATGGGGCAAGAAGAAAGAGAAAGAGATCCTCAGGGGTGTGTGAATGAGGAGGGCCCAGGGCCGATGGGGATGAATGTGAAGGCTGGAACAGGGCCCCAGGGCTCCATCCAGCCCTGTCCCACTCCTCTCTGCCTGAGTGCTGAGCCTGAGCTTGGGCTTGGGAAAGATCTCAGAAGTCTCTCTCTGCTCTCAAAGATTCTCAGTTCGGAATTGCAGTCCATTCCCAACCTCCCAGGAGAAACAGAATTCGAGGCAGCTAAATGAATATCCCGCCAAACTTTTTGGACTTTTAGGAAAGGTTGTGGTGGACCTAGCTGAGAAGGTGTCTAGCTCCTCTGCCTCCTAGGACTTCCCCAGTGTCTCTGCAGCGCCACCCCCCCCCCCAAACAGAGCCATGGGGATATGGGATCTTGAATCTGAGATTAGATAGCCACTATCTGTCCTTTCATCTCAGGACAGTAAGATAAAACTGAAGCTTTGTACAAGCTGCCCAATTCTAGGCTTCTTCCTCTGCCAGGACTGAGGGTGGCTGCTGAGCTGAGTTAACTGGTGACGGGGAATTCTGAACCTAGGGTTCCCCTTGAGTCTGTATTGCTCTAGTGGCTTAGGCTCTACTGTGCACCGACAGAATGAACTTGTCTGCTATTTGATCTTACACAAACCCCTCCTCCCTCCAAGCCTCAGTTTCCTCACCTGTGAAGAGAGGGCGATTCCCTACTCTTCTCATCTCATTGATCTACGTGACATTTTCTTACCTTTTGGGACGGTCAGGTGAGAGAAGGTCTTTGTAAAGGCCCTGCAGACTGTAACATATTTTAGGAATGCAATAGATTATCATGATTATCACACCTGTGGGGAAAACATGGAAAAAGTCAAAGTCACTGTGGAGTAAAGGGTGATTATTGCTGTTGTTATATTTATTCTGCTACTTGTTAACACATTCTGCTTAACTCAGAAGATGCAGTTCTGAGCTGAGGGTTGGAAAGAGGACTCCCAGGGTTTGTCCCAGCTGCTCACTTGCTGTGTCACCCTTGTTGTGTTGCCAAATCTCTCTCTGACTTGCTTTCCCCATATGTGCCTTGCCTAGATGATGTATATATTCCATTTAGCTTGCCCTGGGGGAAAAGGTGGGAGGAGCTCTATCCACACAAGGTGGTGTTATTATTATTAGCTTGACACAAAAAATATTCATGTCTACATCCAGGAACTAATCTGCATTTATCATTCTGTGCCCGAGTGGACAGATGGTGAAAGATATTTTTAGATTCTGAAATGGTAACTTCCTATTCTTGGTAACCAAAGCTTCATCCCCCTTTCCCTTCAGCCTAAAATGGGCCAGCTGCCCCTTGACTCACTGGCTACCTCAAAACCCCCTTCTCCCATTTTCAGAATCTACTTACAAGAAATGCATACTTCTTTCTTGAACATAAACTGAATTTCCCTCAAACAGAGCAAAAAATGACCATGGGGTGGAGGTGGGGGTCTCAGGGGAGTGGCTGCAGATGGCTGAGGGTCCATTGAACTCCATGGTTTCTTAGATAAAAGGGCTAGCGATTTCTACTCTACCCTATTCGTAAAATGAGGGGCTTGGGATGAGATGATTTTGCAGGGATGACAAATTAATGGCTCTTAGGTTGAACCTGGCCTACAGAAGTGTTTTGTCTGGCTTGCATAGTATTTCAAAAATCCAAAATCCTAGCTCCTCTTGAAAAAAAAATGCATCTAGCAATATCAGGCCTGGAACAATTTAGACAGGGTATATGTGCTTCAGTTTGTCTGGTTCCATTCTCTTTGATCACATCTGGACTCTTTCACTTTGGCCTTAGGGGCATGAGAGCCCTAATTTACAGTTCTGCAACAATTGTTTCATTAAGCATTCACTTTGTGCCAGACTACTGAATGCCTTTTTACCTGCTTCATCTCCTGTATCCCTCCTAATAATCCTGCAGTGTGGTTGTATTATCATTCCTGCTTAACAGATGAGG